CTCATTTTATGGACAAGGAAACTGAGGTAGAGCCCGCTTTCCTAAAAGCAGCCAGCTAGTAAATCTCTGAACTGGGATTTGAAGCCAAGTGCTCTTGATTCCAAGTCCAGTATTCTATCTACCACACCATCATGCCTCTTACAGTTTTGGGGTTGACTTTGGGTAGTTGCAGGGCTTTTTTTAATGGTCCCGAATTTCCTGAAACAAAGACCCATTAAAAAAATGCAATATACTTTTATTTTAAAATCAGTCACAAGTCTGAGCCTAGACCTATGGTGCCATTGTACAAGTTACAAATGCTTAACAGCTGAGGGCCAGTGTTTAGTAGCATTAAACAGTGAACGGAAATCCACATAAAACAAATGTCACAGTGGCTTCCACTAGAACAGTGTGACCCCTTCCATATTGTTGCATTTGAGTCAACACTGCTCTTAAAACACATTTAAAAACTTAAGAATTAAGTTAGTGCCCTCTCCAAGTCCCCTCAGTTCAAACTAAATTTACAATTAATGGCTATCAACAGTTTCTCTGCGTTGATACTAGCTAAAGCACAAATGATGCTAAGGAATGGTGCTGCATTCTACTTTATAAGCATTAGACAATGACCAAGTGTTGATATCCTGGGCTGCTACTTCTTCCTGGAAAACTTGTGGTTCTTGTTTTGTTGCCTGCATTGCTGTTCTGGTCCAGACATCACATGATAGAGAGTGGGACTCTGGAAGTCATTGAAAGAGAAAGTAGCAACAGTACAAGCACTTGTGTTTTAAAACCACCTAGAACCTTCCACATGTGTTTCTGGTAAATCACAGCATTCTACAATTTGATCAAGGCCATCACCTGGTGGTCCCCATGTGCTATAAGAATAATGTTTCATATCTGGTTTGAGTGTCTTTCACAGAGCAGTCTTAACATGTATGATCAAACGGGATGCAATTAAATGTTTGATATTCTCCATCTTTCACATGATATATAAAGATTTGGTCATTTTCTTCATCAGAACCTCTGTATTCCTTTAATATGTAGGTTGGGTTTTTTGTTTTATTTTTGACAATGACATTAACCACAAGTGTAAAAGGGATGCAATATAGTATCTCTCTGGTCACATATATTTCTGACTCTAGATTCAGAAGGAAAATACTTATCTTATGTTGGGTTGATTGCACCTGTTATCTGTTGAAATTTAAGCTTGACCCCTTCAGAACCAGGTAAGCCCCCACTAACCAATATCAAGTGGATACATGTTGAAACTAACCTCAGCCTTTGTGTCAGAGATACATCAGACATCAGAAACTGCTTAGGCAAAGGTTTCTGGTTCAGTACAGTTGTTTCCCACATGGAAGCTGACTCTAGCAACATTCATATTCAGTGTTTTGTTTTTTTCTGGATCAAGGACAGCCTACTTATTTTGAATGGTACCAAATTCATCATGTAGGTGGCAAACAGCTTTGGAGTTATAAGTGGCATTCTACAAAACCAACTTTGCCCAGTGATCTCTGGCAACTTTCATTCACTTGACTTCACTGTCAGAAGTCATCTTCTCTCCATTGTTGTCATTGTACTTAATTTGTGACATTTGCTTGGACGTGCCTAGATGATTCTCTCTGGGGGCACCTGAAGACTTTGCATAAATTGTATTTCAGTCTGCTGGCATAGCACATTCAAATCCTGCCCCTAGAGTAGCAAACGTTTTCTCTCTAGCTCTGCCATTGTGACATTTGAAGCATAAAAAAGAGATATTCAAAGAAATGCTCATCTACCATCCCAAGGGTTTCTTTAGGATGTCTCCAAGGTGAGCAGCAAAGAAAGTGTCTTTATCATCATCATTAGAAGAAGAAACATCATTAAGTTTTGGGTAAAATATCCTTAAGAGTAAGCCTTCATCAAGGAAATTGAAGTCAAATTTGTTCTTGCCAAACTGTTACTGGTTTCTTGGCATCTTCTAAAAGGCAACAAAATGGGAAATGAAGAAGTGGAATTTAGAGGCTAGCTCTTTAAGAGTATAAAGAGGCCACGTTATTGAAATCTCTGAAGACTAAGCTGAGAAGTTGGAACCTCATTGATTCTCTACTGCTGATTTGGTCTGTACATAAAGTTAGTGCTAATGGAAGAGAGGAAACGGGTGTGTGGTAAATTGGGAGGCAGAATTGACAAGATTTGGAAAGGTAGTTGAGAATGTTGCTTATGAGCCCTATGGAGTAATTGAACTACGGCAAGAAAATAGATTTGATAATCTCATAGGCAATATCGACCTCCCCCCACCCCACTTTAATAGGTATAAACTTTGACTCCATTTATAAATTCTGTTAGGATTATGAAGGATACTTAAGCTTCTACAGGGGATCCATCTGATAACAAATGATAGGTCTCCAAATGGGTGTCATTTTGTGGCTTTCTTGGAGATGAGTATTATCTGGTCATCCATAGGAGGTGAGTTTGTTTCTATTCTGTGGGCTACTTCCTGATAAGTGTTTTGGTCACTTCTTTGTCACAGGGGAGATGACTTAGGGAGTTGGACTATATAGTAGGTTGACAACCTCCTTGGCAATAGGGAAAAGCAAAAGTGATGCAAAGACAGCCATGGTATCTTACGTTATGGAAAACAAGTTGTTTTAAAACACACTTAGTTTCTTCATGCACGTGCTACACCCCTTGTAATAGGTGCTGCTGAAAGTATTCAATAGCTGGGGTTAATTCCCCAACCCAGTAGACATTTGAGCATAACCTTGAGGTCCTGGTTATAATCTAGAGAAGAAGTAGCTCATTTAGACAACACCTGTGGGAAGTTAGAAGCCATGGCTGAATTTCTCTTCCAATATATGCATTCATTTAGCAAGTGCCCCTTACCTTGTGTGAGGCATACAGCCTTGGGGCAGAGAATAAGATCAGTGAAACATGGTCCCTGCTTTCAAGGATTTTAACTTCGAGTAGGAAAAGTGAGATTATACCGAGGTAAATAGAGTATCATTTAGAATGTGACAAGTGTGTAAGAATACAAAGTGTTGTGAGAATAGGTGAAGGAGAAATCTCTTTGGAATTATGCCTTAGGGTCACTCTTTTTTTATTTTCTTTTTTTTTTCTTTTTTGCTTTTTGGTGAGGCAATCAGGGTTAAGTGACTTGCCCGGGGTCACACAGCTAGCACGTGTCAAGTGTCTGAAGCCGCATTTGAACTCAGGTCATCCTGACTCCAAGGCCAGAGCTTTATCCACTGCGATACCTAGCTGCCCCCCTTAGGGTCACTCTTGAGTTAACTGTGTGATTATTTATGTTGTATACTGGGTTTGTCATCCATGGTTTATATGCAGTTCAAATCTTGACATGATAGAGTCCATTAAAGAGAATCTATGTAACAAATTTCATTTTTTTATACTGCCACAGAGAAGCTTCATCTTAAGTATTTGAAATATGAGCCTGGAGGCAGAAAGAAAACACTGGTTTTATATTCTCTAACAAGGGTCTTTCAAGTACCTGTGGGATTTGTCATGGAGTCAGTATAGTTTAAAGGGAGCACGTCTGCATTGATCTCCAATGGTTCTCTGGCCAATTTGTAGCTTCTTATAGAACACTCTTCATTATTGCTTTAACACCTCAAAATATATATTTCAGCAACACAGATTACAACCTCTCTACCCACTTGTACATGGTCTTCATGAGTTGGTGTGGTTAAAAATAAAGGGACCTCAGAGGCTATCTCATCCAGTCCGTATCTGGACAAGACTGGTCCTTGGACAACTGACACATAGTGCATCACGAGGCCTGTTCACACAGCCTTTCTAGGGTGTCATAACCAGCTGCAGGTGGCTTGCTGCGGGTATAGCCCCCAGGATCCCGCTGTGCCTCAGTGAGGCAACAGTCTGCCTGCACGTATGCACATGTGCACTGCTGAGGGTTTGCCAGAGTTCTGAAAGGAGTTGGTCTGATATTGTTTCTAGCCCCAAGGGCCTGTGGTTGTACAGCTAGGCTGCATATCCCCACCTATCGGTAGGCTGCTGACAGTTTCATCTGCTCTGAGCTCATTCCTAACAATAGACATTTACCCTTCCAGGAGCTGGTGGGCACCCCCTGGAGCAAGCCTTAATAAAACTGGCTTCGTGTGGCCAAGCGGGCCATTTTTCTGGGTGCTCGTTAAGGACAAGCAGCCTCCACCACCTCCTCTCTCTGGCTAAGACCTGACAGCCAGTTCTGACATAGGAAGAGGGGGCATTTGGTGCCAGTTGTTTACTTTCAGAAAGATTTAGGCAATGGCTGCTCCTCCTTTCACTGGGCTGACAGCGGTTGCTGACGTAATTAAAGATCTAGACACTCAGATAGCTGTAAGTAAGCTGATTAATGTGACCATGGCATCTGTGGCCAAAGTTTTTGAGTGTGCACCATCTTATCATGCTAACAGGCTCAGGGCCCTTTTTAAAAGACTGATTTGGCACCTTAAAGATTAACAACAGAACCAAAATTGCTATTGATGGTAAAAGATAACTTACTCTTAAAATTGTTAAACTTTGTGTGTGTTGAACATAACTGCATTGAGTGTTGGTGCATGATGTGGTGTGTTAACATGGATTACTAATTTCTGAATCATAGGGGCTGTGCTCCTATCTGCAGAGGTGGTCATGGTATATAGGTGGAGTTCTTTTTTGGTTATTTGGATTTAATACATATTTTTCCCAAATGATGATGTGTCTTTACCAAGTGTTCTGTTTCTGTGTAAACCTCAGAAATATCTTACTCTTTTCAGTCAATGTCTATATTTGATTCTTTGATCCATTTGCCTTCTTCCTGTTCTGAAGACTATTTCAGATAGGCAGTAAAGGAGAGATGGTTTCCAAATGTCAGGTAAAAGCTATACATTGGTTTCTGTCTCCATTTTTATAATCAAAGGTATCAACTTGTGACCATTTCAGATGAACTTAAGTTCTGAAAATCTAACAAACATGCAGTTTTTTTTAAATGTCCCCCCTTTGTTACTGATCCTTCTGAAATATATTTTTATGTTTTCTTTCCCCAGTTGATTGGCCTCGGTCCCCACAATCCCAAAAAAAAACAGGACCTTGACAAGCTCCATGAACTGAAGGCCAAAGCCCGGCAGATTATGAACCAGTTTGGCCCCTCAGCCCTGATCAACCTCTCCAACTTTTCATCCATAAAACCAGAACCTTCCAGCACCCCCCCTCAGGGGTCCATGGCCAACAGTACCACAGTGGGAAAGATGCCAGGCCCCCCGGGGGCGGGGGGGCGTCTTAGTCCAGAAAGCAATCAGGTATCAGCTTTCCTATTATCATAGGCTTCTGGGAGCTTTGTTCAACATTTACTAATGCCAGTGTTATGTGTTGGGCTCTATACTTTTATTTCTCTATGATAAAAGGCATGGACACAAGCATTGGGATAAATTATTAGAAGAGAATAGGATAAGGATGTTTGAGCCCATAGCTTTCTTCATTTAGTTATATATTTTCTCTAATCTAGCCACTGTTCTGAAACCTCAGTTGCTATAATTAAGTACCTACCATGTGGCAGGTGAGAGGCCTGGCCTTGGTCAGTGCAAGCTAGGGTTAAGTCCTGCCCATCAGCAGTGGCAGAGGCAGTGTCCTCACTGGGAATAGGTCTTTACACAAATGAAATTAAAGGTCCAGACCACAAAAGGGAGAATACATTAGGCACTAGGGATACAGAAACAGGGCAACCCTCATCCTCAAGGAACTTAAGAGTCGACAACATAGACACAGATTAGGTACAGAAATAATTTGGGAGAGGGGGATGAGCACCAGCAGCTGGTGGGATTTGAAGAGAGGGCCCTGAAGCTGAGCCTTGAGTGGAGCTGGAGATAAGAAGGGAGAATTTTCCAGATATGGCAGACAGTCTATACAAAGGCACAGTGTCATGTGCAGAAAATAGATAGTCCAGCTTGGCTAGAATGTAGGGGGAGTTGGGGATAGGATTGTGAAATAAGCCTGAAAAATAAATAGAAGCATTTATACAGCACCTACTATGTGTCAGGTACTGTACTAAGCACTTTTTTACAAATATTGTCTCATTTGAACCTAACAACAGTCTTGCTAGGTAGAAGTTATTATTATCCCCATTTTACAGTTGGGGAAACTAAGGCAAATGGAGGTTAAGTGATTTTGCTCTTGTAAGTAAATGTCTGGGGCTGGATTTGAACTCAGGTCTTCCTGATTCCAGGCCCAGCACTCTATCCACTGAGCCACCTAACTGCCTCTAAGGAGGTGGGTAGGATTGTAGATTCAGAGTTGAAAAGGACCTCTGACATCATCTAGTCTAGCCTCACTATTTTATAGATGAGGAAGTTGGGGCCCAGAGAGGTTAACTGGGGTCCTAAGGTCAAAAGTGGTAGCTGGCCAAGTCAGGATTTGAGCAAAAGTTCTTTCATCTCCAAATCCAGCATTCCTTCCACTGTTGTATTTTTACTTATTTTGTTAAATGTTTCCAGTTGCATTTTAATCTTGTTCTGCTGCACTGGGAGTTTGAGGGGCCATAAGTTTGATACCTCTGGTGTATAGGGTAGGTTGAAGAGGTAAGAAGGTCCAAGCTGGGAAACTATTCCAGTAACCTAGATGTGAAGTCAGGGGAGCGACATCCAAGGAGGGACAAATCTGAAACACATTTTGAAAGAAGAATCAGAAGAACTTAGTAATTTGATGTGAGAAACAAATCAAAGATCAGACCCCCGTGTTTCCAGCCTGCATGACTGGGAGAAGGGCAGGGCCGTTGTTCCCAAGTGAAGCTCAGAAAGGAAGCCCTATGTGTGGGAATAAATAAAAAACCTCTCCTTGGTCAACAAAGCCAGGAGGCCGTGTGGGGGCAGTGTAGAGCTGCCAGGAGAACTCAGATGGTTCCTGGGTGCCTTGCCTGCCTCTGAGGTCCTTGAGTGTCTCTGCAATTCCCAGATGCTCAGAATCTTTACACCTCTCTGGTAGTACATTGTTTCTCCAGGTGTGCAAAGGTCTTGCTCTCCTTTCCACCTGCTCTTCCTTAGGTGTACCTCTCAGAAGCTGTTAGAGCTGGCTCCAACAACAGTGGGTGTCTCAACAAGGTCCTGTGTGCAAAGGTTTACCTTGGGGTCTTGCATTGCTGGGCAAATAGCTAAAGGGCAGAATTTACATTAACCGTGTGTTTGACTCATCACAAATTGACCTGTTTATGCATTTACCTAAAGCATGACTGAGAATTCTCCCTGTTCACTAGGTTTTGACAAAGAAGAAATTACAGGACCTGGTTAGAGAAGTCGATCCCAATGAACAGCTGGATGAAGACGTGGAAGAGGTAGGGGGATGGGTGCAGGCAGGGTGAGCAGCCTTGGTTACAACCAGACCCTTAATGGTCTTTTCCAACCCTTTGACCAATCTGAGAATTCCTTTGACCAGCCTGAGAGGCTGGATGCCTCTATTTGAATACTCCCGGTGATGAAGCAGCTCCCTATTTCACATAACGGCTTCAATTGTTAAGAGTTTTTCCTTAGAGTGAGCCAGGATTTACCTCCAGCCCCTTTGGCATTGGAAGAAATTAAAGCCCAGAGAAAAGCAGTTTTCCCACCAAGGTCACCAAAGTATTAAGTAGCAGAGTCAGGCTCTGCCTCCAAATCCTTCCCATTATACCATGTGTTCCTGTCCTTTAGATGGTACCCAGTAGGGGATCCACAGGAGAGAAGTACTGGGAGTTAGAGGCCAGAAGAGCTGGGGGTGTGAGTACCGTCCTGTGGCTAGTGAAGCCCATCATATAAATGTGCGGTAACTAAACAAAAGTAAGAGTTAGAGCTGCCAGGCTGATGATGGAGACCAGCTATCTCCTTTACCCATTGTTTCCAGGCTGCTGCATGACACCAGAGAGAATCTGGGTGAATAGTAAGGCAGTCAATCATTGAGCATGACGCCAGGCAACCAGGCTGACAAATTTTTGTTTCCCAGTTGAATTTTGCCTGGCTGTATAGGCTTCATGGTGACTCATCCTCACAACACTTTTCTTGGACTCCTTGTGCAGTGCCTGATCAGATACCAGTCAGTTCTTCCACTGGATGGGGAACAGCTGAACCAGGAATGGACAAAGACTGGTGGGCATCCAAAGAGGGTAGAGTTGGGCACAAGTAGTCCAGCAAATGCCATTTGCCCTCATTTGCTCATGAGAATAGCAGAGAGTAAAGGCCTGGTGGTTGCATGACGTTTCTCTGTCCTGCCCCACTCCCTGCTGACAGGAATCCTGTCTGGCTCAGGCAGCTGTCTTTGCCAGTCACCCATCTGCCACCGGGGTTTAAGCCAGAGCTCAGATGTGGCCTGTTTTCCTGCCATCCCCCTCCAGATGCTACTACAGATTGCTGATGACTTCATCGAGAGCGTAGTGACGGCAGCGTGCCAACTGGCCCGGCATCGAAAATCTAACACTTTAGAGGTCAAAGATGTCCAGCTACATTTAGGTGAGTGATAAGCATGCTGTGGATTGGCAGCTGCAGGTCTGTGAAGAGAAGGCCTGGGAATGCCAGGACAATGGCTGGAGTCAGTGTGATGTGGCTCAGCATTGACCTTGGCATAGAGGGCAATGGGGGAAAGAAACTTCAAGTTCCCCTGGAAGAAACAGCCAAGAGCGGAAAGCACACCCACTGGGTCTGGAGTTGGAAAGCCTGAATTTGGGTCCTGACCCTGATATTTATTAGCTGTTGGTGAGGGACCTCTCTGAGCCTCAGTTTACTAATTTGTAAAATGGTGCTTATGACTTAACAGAGTTGTGAGAAAATGTGAGCTGCTGCTGTTATGGCTTTGAAACCCTCAGGAATTAATCCACAGACATGATCTGGTGAAGAGGAGCACATGTCTTTCTCAGTAATTCAATTGAGCAGATATTTACTGAGCACCCAGTAAGTGGAAAGCACCATGGAGCAGTCTGGAGTGTGGCTCATGGCCCAGGCAGCGCAATATTGGGAGGGATCGCTGCATGTGGAGTCTCAAGACCTGAGTTCAGGCACTGGCTCCATCATTTGTTACCTGGGTCATCTTGGGCAAGGCAATTAAGCTCTCTGGGTCTCAGTTCCTTCTTTTGTGAACCAAAGGGAGTGAATTAGCCCTTCTAGCCTAAAGCCTATGAAGAAAACATGGACCTGCCCTCTGGGAGTTTATGCTCTAATAATGATGACACATGTATAAATAGCCATAGCACCAGCTATAATGTGGAAGTCCACGGAGAGCTTTGATCCCAAGAGGGAGGTGTCATTTGGAGTGGGAGGATCAGGGGAAGCTTCGTAGAGGAGGTGGGAGCTGGTGGGGTAGGGGACAAAGGGAAGGATATTTTAGCAAACGTGGAGATGCATAGAGCATTTTCAGGGCTTGGCAAGGAGTCATTTTGGTTAGAGTGGAGGCTGTGCACAGTGGGCTATTGGGGCCTAAGTGTGAAGGTCCTTGAAAGCCAACTCTGCCAGGGGATAGAAGAAGGTCACCATTTCAGCCTTCATCGTCTTGCTTTGTTGCCAAAGAGATAGGACACATGTGAAAATAGGAAGCATTATCACAACTGTTTTTTGCTGTTTAAAAAAAAACTGGCTGAAATAAGTCACTTCAGAGACCAAAAAGCAAGGAATTAGCATAGCATAGCCCCTAGCCCGAGGCTGAGCATGAGAAAGGCCTGCTCCTCTGTGGGGTGGAAGTGTGGGAGGCTGTGGGAGTGGCATCCCGAGGTCTGTTCAGCTCTTCCTTAAGCTTCACTATCAGCAGCAGGCAGTACTGGTCTTTTCCTTACCAAGTAATTATGTGCGCCCCCACCCCATGCCCGTTGAGATCACACAATGTACACGTCTTGATTTACACAAAGGCCCATATCTGAAAAGTCGTGTTTTAAGTCAATGATGTGAATCAAAAACTAGCATGAGTTGTTCTAATTTACTGAACCCTGACCCGAATCCAAAAATTTTTGTAAATGAATCGTGCCAAAGTTTTGTTTTGTTTCTCCTACCCAGTCCTAAGCACCTAGCACTTCAAACTACAAGTAAACCTACTTATTTTCTAGAAGTTATCCCGTTAAATATTAAAACCATTTATTATTCATTCAGCAGCTTGGTGGTACGTTGAATAAGAGCACTGTATATATAAATACTGCTTGAATGTTGAGCCAGGGATTTCAGTAAATCAGTTCAGAGAATCCTAGAGTGTGGAAGATGGAAAGGGACCTAAGAGACAGTGTAATCTCATCCTTTGTTTTTATAGAGGAAGAAGCTCAAGGCCCAGAGACGAGCCTAGAGCAGACACTTCCTTACTGTCTCTTGTGGTTTACATTAACACGCTGGACCAGCCACAAGTCCCAGGTTTCAACACGAGCTGCTTTCTGTTCCTTTGCCTGGTCCCAGCTTTTCTACGTGTGTCTCTGCTTCTGGCACCCTGCTCTCTCTGGTCAGCACCCAGGTTTCAACACGAGCTGCTTTCTGTTCCTTTGCCTGGTCCCAGCTTTTCTACGTGTGTCTCTGCTTCTGGCACCCTGCTCTCTCTGGTCAGCACCTGGCCTCCACTCCCAGTCTGCTCTGTCCTGCTGTTCCCTGCCTGAGGTAGCAGAGGGGCTGTAAGCCCACTTCAGGCTCTCCTTGGAGCGTGCATCCAGACTTGGCCCCTTCGTTTTCTTTTTCTTCTAGGCTCTTCTGCCTGTCCTCTCCCAAAAGGAAATTCCTTCTAGGTCGAAAGCCTCCAAATCCTGGGGAGCTCTAAGTGATGTCAGCCCATAAACAACAACACACACACACACCCACACACACACACTCTCCTTAACAACGAGCTCTCCATGGCCACATCTGTGTGGGAGGGGCATTTACTCCAGTGTTATATCCATTTTCTTATCTGTAAAATAGGGATAATGGTCTCCACCTATCCCACAGAGTTGTGAAAAAAAAAAAAAAAGGCAGTTTGTAAATACTAAAAATGGGCTGCTAGGTGGTGCCATAGTGCACAGAGCGCAGGGCCTAGAATCAGAAGACTCATCTTCCTGAGTTCAAATCCGACCCCAGACATTTACCAGTTGTGTGACCCTGGGCAAGTCACTTAACCCTGTTTGCCTCAGTTTCCTCATCTGTAAAATGAGGTGGAAAAGGAAATGGCAAACCACTGCAGTATTTATGCTGAGAAAACGTCAAATGGTATCACAGAGAGTCAGACATGACTGAAAACAACTAAAGGACAACAGAATCCTAAAATGCTTAGGTCAGTGTGAGTGGTTATTATATGCAAAGCTCTTGTGCTAGGAACTGAAAGGTTGGTGTGAGTTAGTTAGCTGTGGGACCTTGGGCAAGTCGCTTAACCCCTGCTTCAGTTTCCTTAGCGCCCACTTCCCAGGTTCATTGTGAGGATCAAATGAGATAGTAATTGTAAGGTGCTTGGCAAACCTTAAAGTGTTACAGCAGTGCTGGCTGTTATTATTTTTACTGTTAAATATTGCATGCTTACTGATGCCAGGGGGTCCTGCTAGATGTTGTAACTAACTAGCATTTCATTGAGTTCATGTCTATAGGATTGCGGATTTTGAGCTGGAAGAAGGGATCCAGTGGTTATCTGTCTGCCTTGCCTTTGTCTCCCCCTGCTTAGCCCAGTGCCTGGCACATAAGAAGTGTTTTACAAATGCTTATTGATTGATGGCCAGATGGTCCAACCCCTCATTGTATAGATGAAGAAACCTAGGTTCATAGAAGGCAAGGGACTTTTCCAGTGTCATACAGGTAATAAGGGACAGAAGCAGAGTTTGAACCCAGGTCCTTGGACCCCAAAGCCTAGTGCTCTTTCTACTATTCCATGCTGCTTTGAAGTTAAAAACTTTCCTAAAGCAAATCCTATTGTGGATGTCCACCTGCATCCAGTGCCAGTTACTGGTCAGAACAAGATCAATAAGTAGGCCATAAGCTCTTGAAGTCAACTCAGTAAGTGTCCACCCATGTGACCAGACAGAGCCTGGGGCTCTGAAAAGCAGGATACCCCGAGTTCTCAGGCCACCCGCTCTCCTCAGCCTGGCTTTGAAGTGATGTAGCTGAAGAAGGGCCAGGTAGCTGTCATCCCACCCCCACATCCCAGGTCCACCCTTGATGTTGAATTCAAGTTCTTCCACAGAGGCTTTCTCTGACTTCCCCGCTCCCCAAAGTTGGCATTCACTCTGCCCTTCTCACGTTGCATAGGCTTTGCTCATACTTTTGCACACTTTACTTTGCATATTATATGTCACTTTGTATTCTATTTATCTTTTTTTTTCACTTTTTAATTTAATTACTTTAGCATATTTTAAAATCTGAGTTCCAAATTCCCTCCCTCCTATCCCTCCCCCATCCATTGAAAAGGCATGGAATATATCAAGTATACATGTGAAGTCATGCAAAATACATTTCGGTATTAGCCATGTTGGGGAAAAAAAGGGCAAGGAAAATAAAGTTTAAAAAGTATCCTTCATTTTGTCCTCGGAGTTCATCCGTTCTTTCTCTGGAGATAGCATTTTTCATCATGGGTCCTTTGGAATTGTTGTTATGTTGATTGTTATATTGATCAGAGTAGCTAAGTGACAGTTGATCATCATTACAATGTTGCTGTCGCTGTGTACAGTCTTCTGGTTCTTCTCGCTTCACTTTATCAGTTCAGATAAGTCTTCCCATGTTTTTCTGAACCTACTGCTTGTCATTTCTTATAACAAAAGAGTATTCTGTCATAATCATACACCGCAATTGATGGGCATCTCCTCACTTTCCAGTTCTTTGCCACCACAGAAAGAGCTGCTATAAATATTTTTATACCTGTGGGTCCTTTTCCCTTTTCTTTGGTCTCTTTGGGATACAGCCCTAGAAGTAGTATTGCTGGGTCAAAGGGTATGCACAGTTTTATAGGCCTTTGGGCATAGTTCCAAATTGTTCTCTAGAATGCTTCGACCAGTTTACAACCCTACCAACAATTCATTGATGTACCTATTTTTCCACATCCTCTACAATGTTATTTATCTCCTTTATAATTTCTCGTAAACCTCATGAAGACAAGGACCATTCCTTGTCCATGTTTTGTGTGCCCCTCCCCCCTCTAGCACTTAGCACTAATTGGATAGGGACAAAGTAAGGAGAGGAGAGCCTCAGTAATTGAATGGATATAGAAGAACTGAGGACAACAGAAAAGGTTTTTTAAGCTAAATTGGAAAGAAGAGGAAGATCCCAGAATGGACAGGAACACTGCTCATGGTAGAGCGTATGGTAAGGAAAGACAGTGAAGGCAAAGATGCCCAACTCTCCTTTGACTCCTATTTTCTCTGCCGAGGAGAGCAATCTTTGGGCTGGAAAAGACCCAACCAAAGTAGCACAAAGGAGCTGAAACCCCAACTACCAGGGACAGCCCTGAGCTGTCCTTGATGAAGCCCAGGGGAGCTAGTATATCACAGGGCATGGAAAAAATGGGCAGATGTGATCTTGTCTAGGGAGCCAAGGGGATGGCTCGGTGCCGAGCAGTGGGGGAGCGAGCAAGAAACAGAGTATTTACAAGTGAATGTGCATGCGTCTATCTGGATTAAAGATGTGTGGATGTGTCTTTAACATGGCTAATTTATCTCTAGAACCTCTCAAACTTAAGGCAGAAACATGGGGATTTCCAGGATTTTCTATCTGTCCCTTCTGACTGCAATTCTGTAATCAGTAGTCAGAAGCCTAGCCTCTTCTTATCAGTGATGAAAGAGGAGGCTTGAGGCTTTGCCCAGCCCTAACCTGCTGGGATTTCAGGACCTCCTTATCATGGGCTCGCTTCCCACCCTCACCTCAACATTTTTCTATCTTCCAGAGCGCCAGTGGAATATGTGGATCCCAGGTTTTGGTTCAGAAGAAATACGACCCTACAAAAAGGCCTGCACCACAGAGGCTCACAAACAGGTACAGAGGAGGACAACGAAGCTGTTCTCATGTCCCTTAGTCCCCACTCCACCCCCCAGGGATGGGCTCCGGGGAACATGGAGCCCCGCAGTGGTAGGTTAGCCATCCTGTGCATAGTGTAACATGGGGTCTGTTAGAAATGGTCCGGTTGGTGCCGTCAGGGTTTATGTAAGAACCATAGCAGCAGAAACATGTGCTAGGCCTACTACAGGTCTTGTTCTTGTGAGACCATGTTCCCAGGCCCAGGGAAAGCATCACATCCCCTTTCCTCTTACCCAGCGAACAGGCCACCATGCCTCACCCTCGCCTTGTCAGTAGCTTGAATATTATCTTTCTTTCTCTTTCAGAGAATGGCCTTGATCCGCAAAACGACCAAGAAATAACGCATGGGAGGGGCAGGGAGAAGACGGCACTGCATTTGGAGACACCGGAGAGGCCTCCACAATATCGCCTATGGAATTTTTTTTTATGCTTTAAAGAGAAGCATATATATTTTTATTAACAGTACAGCAATATCTATAGTGACTGAGGAGACCTGCCAAAAAAAACCTAGCCATTATATGGTCCCAGTTCCCTTTCCTTTTACTTGCCCTCTCAGAAGGGAGCAATGTATCTCAGCCCAAAGGAGGTTTTATTTGTGGTTCATCCTAAGTGGTTGTCCAAGGGACAGAGAGCATTCTGGTCGTGTTTGGTGGACAGTAGAGGTTTCTGTTTCCCTTTCCTCCCCATACTTTGTAACATCAGTGTTTATATGAATATGACTTTGATTTGTTTTTCAGAAATAAAGATGTTATTAAGCTAACAGTGCAGGGTGCACTGGCCTGGTGCATCCCCTTTGGGGAGAAGAGAGTGAAGGGATGAGGAGACAACTGTAGACAGCAGGGGGCAGTGTTTGTTAACGGAATTGTATTTCTAACTGGAGATCTCGGGACCCACTCTTAGAGCTTTCCAATATTCTGTCCAAAAGCCAGTCGGATCACTGGTGGGAACGGGATGATGGTTTTGGCCCAGTTGTTCCTCCCACGCCACCCAGATTGGAAGAATTGGACATACAAATAGCTAGCTGTTGGACCTCTGCCTAGAGAGGTCACAGGCAGCTTGGGGAAGGCTGGCCAGTCCAAATGCATGACCGCTCTGGAATGGATGGATCACTGGGCCTTTCTCCTTTCTTGGGAGAGAACTCGGTATTGCTTCTTCCAGCACATGCATTTCCCTGCTCCTGCCAGCTCTGTTCATGCCTCCAGAAGTTAGTTTATGTCAGAAGTGTGGTCCAAAGGGAAGTTCCAGGCTAGCAGTTTGAAGTTGCCTGATGCAAAGGCAAAGGCTCCCCTAAGACCAAAGCCCCAGCTCCTCACCAGAGTGGGAAACCAGGCAGTGGAAAAACCCAAAATGTTTTGAACTGGCATCATGAATTTATTAGGTTGATGTCAAAGAAGTTTCATATCCTGAGTAAGCAGGTAAGACTGAAGTCTAAAAACTAGCAGTTAAGACTAGGGCCGGGAAGAGATCAAGAAACCTAATAAATCTTGGGGTACAAAGGGCCACACACAACTGAGAGAGTCAAGATTGCAGCCTACTATGACCAGGATCACCAAGGCTGGAACAACCCAGGAAACAGGGTTCAGCCAAGGTTCCCTGCCTCCTTTGGGATCAGGGCCTAGCCTAGCAGTCTGGGCTGATTATGGGTTAGAGCCTGCCTTAGGGCATCAGGGAACAGCAAAAAAGAAGCTGTCTGGCCCTGCTAAGGCTGTGAAGGCCGCCACCACATTGGCAACTCCAAACTGCCCACCTTGTGCCATCTGTGTTAAGCCATGCTCCGACTTTGTCCTCTCCAACATTCGTGGTCAGTCATTCACTCCAGCTCCCAGTTAAGGCGAATGCTGAAAAAACTGAGACAGGGCCTTTCTTAGAATAAGGGGAAATCGGCCTTGGAGTCAGGAAGACCTGAGTTCAAATCTGGCCTCAGACATTTGACTCTTAGTAGCTAACTGTGTGACCTTGGGTAGTCATAACCCCAATTGCCTCAGCAAAAAAATAAGGGGAAATTTAAAGTCACACAGAATTAGTACTAGAAGAAGGGATCTTCTGAGGCTGTTATGTTCTATAGGACCTCTCATTAAGTCATTCCTATATGGCTAATAGGAAAGAAATATACTAAGCAGGTAAGACAAGTCTGAAAACTAGCAGTTAAAGACTAGGGCCAGGGGCAGCTAGGTGGCGGAGTCAGGAGGACCTAAGTTCAAATTTGGCCTCAGACACTTGACAGTTACTAGTTATGTAACCCTGGGCAAGTCACTTTAACCCCGATTGCCTCACCAAAAAGCAAATAAAAAAAGACTAGGGCCAGTGAGCAAAGACCAAGAAACCTAATAAATCCAATCACTTTTGCAAGAAGTTGCATATCTTCATGATAACCCTATGAGAGAAGTAGGTATTATCTTACTTTATTTTTATTAATTTAAGTATTAATTAGCTTATTGGTATTAATCAGGCCCATTTTGCAGATGAGGAAAACTAAGGCTAAGAAGTGAAGCAACTCATCCAGGAGCACAAAGCTAGTGAGTAGCAATTGATTAGATTCTACAGTGCCCTTTGGTATAGTTGACTATTCAAAGTTGTGGAAAATGCAAATATTTGTGGAAAGAAGTTACCCTGGAAGCAGCTAAGTCAACCACCAGGTAACTGAGAGTTTGCTGGAAATCAATCAGTCATGAAGCATTTTTTTAAGTGCTCACGATGTACCCGGCATTAGTGAGAAAGGGGGAGGGAAGGAAGGAAAAAACAAACAGGAAATGGTCCTCCCTTCTAGGAAAGGCCAGGCACCATGCTTCATGCATGTAAAAGGCTGGAGATGGGAGCTGTCACTTCTGAAAGCCGGTGTGACATTCAGTGAGTCACCAGCATGGACATTTCCACCCTTCCCCACCTCTGTGCTTTGCCTCTTGCTGCCCTGGGTGGGCTGGCACCCGGCTCCTCACCCCATCCCACTCGGTGCTCGGGCCCATGCTCCCCTTCTTCACAGCCTCAAAGATGTCCCGAGTGAGCAGCTGGATGGCCAAGGTGACGTTGCTATCACTCTTGGCTGAGGTCTCCACGTAGCGGGCTCCCAGCAAGGAGGCCAACTTCTCTCCCTCCTCAGGGGTCACTTGTCTCTCGGCTACCAGGTCGCTCTTGTGCCCCACCAGTAGGAAGATGATGCCAAAGGGCTTCACTTTCTCCATGACCTCCTGGTGCCATTTGGGAATGTTCTCAAAGGATGCTCGGTTGGCCACGTCGAACAGCAACAGCCCACCTGCTGAGTTTCTGTAGTAAGACCGAGTCACTGACCTTCATCACCAGAAAGAAACCCAATCACTTCTCTGCATGAAAGGATGGGTGCAGGGACACAGGTAATGAAGGCAAGGGAGGTGAATTGAAAGGGACCTTCTCCCACAACTTCTACAAGTCACCTTACCTCTCTTGCCCCAATTTTTCCATCTATCAAATTGCTGGGATCATACCTTCCCTACCTCGCTAAGACAAAATAATGTAATGATTTACATTTATATAATGCTTTATTTACATTTAATCTCATTTGGTCCTTGCAATAAATAGCCTCATAAGGTTTGGTGCTTTTATTCCCTTTTTTACTTATGGGGAAACAGAGGCTCAGACATATTGAATGACTTGACCCGGGTGACACATCTAGTAAGGAGGCAGAGTTGTAGGTGGAAAGAGCAGGGACTCTGAAATCAGAAGACCTGGGTTCAAATCCTGCTTACCTGTGTGACCTTGGGCAAGTCACAATTTCTTGGGCCTCGGTTTTCAGATATATGAAATGAGTGAGTCAGACTAGATAAGACTCTCCATCTCTCAGCTCTGAGCAGACTTTCTGGCTATCCCCCATGCCTGGAATGCTTCCCCCTCATCTCTACCTACTGACCTCCCTGGCTTCAAGTCCCAGTTGAAATCCCACCTCCTACAGGAAGCCTTCCCCAATCCCTCCGAATTGCAGTGCCTTCCCTCTATTGAATATCTTCTGTTTATCCTGTATATAGACTGATATATATATATAGATATATATACATATACATATACAGGTATGTGTGTGCTTGTATATATATGTATATATATTTGCTGATTGCCTCCCCCCATTAGATTGTAAGCTCCTTGAGGGCAGGGACTGTCTTCTGCCTTTTTTCTCAGTATGCTTTGCATAGTGTCTGGCACATAGTAGGTGCTTAATAAGTGTTGATTGATCAGTTGTTAGGTGGCCTCGGAGGTCTCTTCCAACTCAAGATCTATGATCCTAAGTGTCAGGGAGGATTCAAACTCAGGTCTTTCTGATTCCTGGTTTGCCAGCATTTTGTTTCTCCCTCTCCCACGCCAGAACCCCTGCCCATGATGCCAATCTCTAACATTGGTGATAGAAGGAAGAGGTTGGAAGAAAAGAACGGGGCATTCTGTGACTGGTAGAAGGGGACCAAGAACATATGAATGCCCGGCACTCTTCTAGGCACATTCGGGGTATTCTCAGTAGTCAGTTCCCTGTCCTGGGCAGGCAGAGGGTTAAAAGGAAATAAGGGGTGTTGTTAAGCCCCAAGGGCAGCAGGAGAGGAGTCATTAATCCCAGGCAGAGATGGGACCGAGGTCTCCCAATCACCCTGCCTGTGTTCTAGCCCCCACCTCTAAGAAGCAATGATCAGATTCCCCACATATTTGCCTTCTGCTCCTCACAATTTCCCCTCTTTAGTGAACCCCAGACTGACGCTCTGCAGCCCCACCTGGCAGAGGAACGAATGGGAGGAGAGGAGAAAAAAAGAGAGGCCCAGCCCTGCTCGCATGGGACTGAGAGTGCAGACCCCAGGGAGCAGGTCTGGGCTAGGTGAGTGGGAGACGCATGGTAACCTGGGAGCCAGCATCAGATTGAGAGGCAGCTGGAGTGGGGCGCTCTCTCTTCGAGGCTCCATGACCTACTTTCCCTTGCTTACTGTTGTGTTGCACCTCCTTACCCTCATTCTCTAACCCCATTTTCCAGCCCCATCTGGCGCTGGCCTCAGGAGCTGTCCAGCCCCTTACACCACCCTAGCCCATGAATATTCCGACTTCCTAGAATCTTGGAGCTAGAAGGGGCCTAGAAGACCCTGTAACACCAGCCCCTCATTCTGTGGAGAAGAAAACAGGCCTCCACAAGGGGAGAGAGAGAGGGAGACTTGTCTAAGGTCACACAAGGACAAAATGACAGGTACTGGAAATACAGGATAAGCCCCTCCTAGGACATAGTCACCTGAATCGCTCCTGGCCAGCTGTGTCCCAGAACTGCAGCTTCACCTGGACTCCAGGCTCCACTTCCACAAAGTGGACATAGAAATCAACTCCCACTGTCTGGTCGATGCAGTCCACAAAGACGCCCTCTGTGTAACGTCTCAGCAGGGAGGACTTGCCCACTGTAGAGTCGCCCAGAAGGATAAGGCGGAACTGGTACTGCCAGAGGGCATCCGTGGGCAAGGTTGGAGCCATCAGAGGAGGAGGGAAGCTCCCACCAGGAACAGCGGAGAAGCTTCTGGGGACTGGGCAGCTGTAGAACACAGCAGGTTTGTACATGCAGGGAGGGGAGGAGAAATTCTGGGTCCCACATCCAGGGACACACCCAGTGTTCACTAACAGAGAAAGTCCTGAAGCGTCATTTGAGACTTCTTAGTTTCTCTTTGCCAGACCCAGAAGCCAAGACTCCCCCGGGGCAGAGATCCCAGCTCCCCACAGTTTCTACTCATCATAAGATCTCAGGGCTTAATGTCAGAAGGAATCTTAGAAATTAGCCCCTACAGAGAGGGAAACCGAGGCCCCCAGAAGCAATTTGCCCAAGACTTGTGCAACTAAGTGGCACAAGTAGGATTTGAACCCAGGTCCTTGCCTCTGATTCCTGTGCCCTTTTTTACATGAGCCCCCACAGACAGCAAGCAGCAGAGTGGGTATTCAGACAACAAACCAGCTCCAGAATGCTGCCACAGGGTCAGTCTAGAGGACCTCAGAGGTGCTGCCTCCCTGCCCCACACACACACCCCTAGGCTGATTCAGACTTAAGGACATCTCCCTCCCCCTCCCTTGACCTTGGCCTTGGCCCTGGTCAGCAATCTCATTACTCAGGGGATTTCCAGCATTTGGTGGAGACTGGGGGAGAAGAAGCCACTGGAGCCTCTGCCCCCAACAGTCTGAGCAGATCCCAGGCATGGCCAAATATCCCAAGGGCCTCTGCTCAGGGAGTTAGGGCAAAGTTCTAACAGAGCTCTTGGAGAGAGTCTATAAGGTCTTCGGTGAAAGGAGTAATGAGGGAAAGGCTTGGAAGGCATGTCTACTGAGGGGATGGGGAAGAGCAGGGTTTGTTTTCGTGACCCCGAATGCCCATTCCTGGAGTTTGCTCTGCTCTCTGTGGGGAGGTGTACCAGCAAGCAGGCTGCCAAGCCTTGACTTGGGCCAAGTAATGGCGGATGGCATCTAGTAAAGCTTTATAGTTTACAAAGTACTCAGGATTTATGGTCTCATTTGATGATGGCTAGGGAGGATAAAGTAACCCACATCTACACCTAGCAGTTTGCAAAGCCCTGTCTTCTCAACAACAAAGAGGTGAGAAGTGCAAGTGTCATTACCCCATTTTCCAGATGAGGATATTGAGGCTCAGAGGTTAAGTGATTTGTCTAAGGTAACAGAGCTAAAAAGAAACCAGCAAAGGGCCCTTTCTACGTAGTTCCTATTAACCCGCAGTCAGAATCCTAAGTCAGGCTCTCAAAATCACATATGGGCCAATAGCAGTCCACAGATTAATACTGCCATGGATGATAGAGCTGGACTCCAGAGTTCTCCCCTCCTCCCCAGGCCTTCCAGATATTGCCCAGCATCTCTCAGTAGAGCCCCTCCTCTCAAGGACAGAGCACCTGAGTTTCTTCTAGCTGTGGTACAAGGTAAGAGGCCACAGTCTCCACCAGCCTCTTCTTCCATTGACATTAGGGAGAGACAGCATGATGGTGAGGTGGGCGACAGGTTAGTGTCAGAAAGACCTGACACTTAGAACCATATCCTTCCTTAAGTGCACAGGATGTGCTGGGTCAGCAGGTCCCACAAGAACAAAAATAATAATCCAGCATGGGCTGGGGGAAAGGGCCTGGGGTGGGAAGCAGGATACCTGGGCCTGGACCAGAGTGGAGGCTACATAAATGGAGAGGAGGGGATGGGAGGCTAGAGATGCTGAGGACGTAGAATCGACCAGATTTGTCGACAGATTGGGCATGGGAAGTGAAGAATGAGGAATCCAAGAGGGCACCAGGACTGCCAACCTGGATAACAGGAAGGATGGCAATGCCCTTGACAGAAGCTAGGAAGAGGCAGGTTGGAGGGGTGAGGGGAAAGATGACAAATTCCATTTTGAACATGTTAAGTCTGAGGTGCCTATTCAATGCTATAGAGAAGTCAAGAAAGATGAGGACTGAGAAAAGGCCATTGGATTTTTAAAATGATTGGTGACTTTGGAGAGCAAAGTCTTGGGGAACAATGGGGACAAAAGCCATACTGGAGGGGGTTGAAAAATGAATGGGTGGTGAGCAAATAGAGACATTAAGTGTGGACAATTTTTTTCTAGGAGTTTGGTTATGAAAATAAGGAGAAATAATGATGGTCTCAGGGGATGGTTGAGCCAAGTGAAAGGTTGTTTTAAAGAATGAGTCAATGAATGACAAAGATTTCATTACATGCTTACTATGGGCCAAGCACTGGGCTAAGTGCTGGAGATACAAATATAAAAAGAGAGACAGTCTCTGCCCACAAAGAGCTTCTTTTCTTTCCTTTTTTCTTTTTCTTTCTTTCTTTCTTTTTGCACTGAATATGGTGACTTTATTGATGGCACACAATATAGGACTCTAGGCTTCTGCCTCCTACTACAGAGGTGCTTTGGGGCAAGGATGTGAACGGGGCATAGGAACATAGGTCAGGGATGTGGGCTCCCCAGTGGAGGAACCCCTTTTTTGGCTGGGGACAAAGATCCATGGCTTTCCATTTTGCTTCTTGAAGGTCATGTAGACCATGAAGTGTACTACATGGTTACTATAACCATACTCATTGTTATACCAGGAAATGAGCTTGACAATGGACGGGGAGGGCAATACCAGCACCAGCATGAAAGGTAGAAGGGTGGGTGTGTCTCTGTTAAAGTCACAAGATACAACCTAGGCCTCTGTGTAGACCAAGATGTCCTTCGAGGGTCCCTCTGATGCTTGCTTTGCCATTTTCTAGATACCATCATATTTGGTAGGGTTCTTCAGAGGGCAAGTCAGATCCACAACAGTTACAATGAGAGGAGGAACATGGAAGGCCATGCTTATGAGCTTCCCATCAGCTCAGGGATGCCTTCTCTACAGCACCAGTGGAAGCAGGAACGATGTTTTGGGAAGCACCATGGCCAGAGGGCCATCTATGTCTTCTAGGTTGCAGTAATGGCATGGACTGTGGTCATGAATCCTTCAACAATGCCAAAGATGTCATTATGTTGGCCAAGGGGCAGCTAGATGACGCAGTGGATAGAGCTCTGGCCTTGGAGTCAGGAGGACCTGAGTTCAAATCCGGCCTCAGACACTTTACATACTAGCTGTATGACCCTGGGCAAGTCACTTAACCCCATTGCCTCATCAAAAAAAAAAAAAAAGGCAAAAAAAAGAATCATGTTGGTCAAGGGGGCCAAGCAGTTGGTAGTGCAAGAGGCATTACTGACCATCTAAAGGGAATTGTTGTATTTCTCATGGTTCACTCCTATCATGAACATTGGGCATCAGCAGAAAGGATGGAGATAATGACCCAATTAGCACCACCCTTCAAATGACTCTGGCCTTTTCCATGGTGGTAAAGACAACTATCTAGACACTATCTAGAACATACTCAGCTCCAGTGTCTCCCCATTTAATATTGGTGGGATCCTACTCCTAGAAGATGGTAATGGCTTTTCCATCGGTCACCAGCTTTCCATTCTATTTCCATTTCAACAATGCCCTTGAACCTGCCATGCATGGAATTGTATTGAAACATATAAACCATGTAGCTGAGGTCAGTGAAAGAGTTATTGATGGCCATAATAGTCTGCCTGAGTTAAATGCAGCCCTGGTCACCAGGCATTCAGTGTGGCCAAATCCATTGACTCCAACCTTCACCATTTTGTTTCAGGGATGCAACTGCGGCAGTGGATCCTGACTTGGGAGAAGAGCTGCGGGAACTTATTTTCTTTTTTATTTATTTTTTATTTTTTGGCAGGGGGGACTTATTTTCTAAGAGTAGAAGACAAGACATTGAGGGGCATATAAAAAGGTAGAAATCAAGAGTGAAGGGGAGGGGGTGAGAGGGGTTCACATCTGGTGGCAGATAGGGTTAAGATGGGTTAAATGTCTGGATAGCTGAATAAGCTTTGAAGATGGAGCATGGTTTGACATCTGGGACCAGCCAGTGCTTTCAGTAGGCTTGGGCAGCTAGATGGCTCAGTGGAGTCAGGTAGACCTGAGTTCAAATACAGATTCAGATATTTACTAGCTGTGTGACCCGGAATAAGTCATTTAATCTCTGTTTGGTCCTATTTCTTCATCTGCTAAATGGGGATAATAATTGCACCTGCCTCGAAGGATTGTCATGCGGATGGAATAATAATTGTAAAGAACTTAGCACAGTGCCTGGCATATAGCAAACACTATTTAAATGTTAGCAATGATGATGATGGTGATGGTGATGATGATTGGTAATTATTAAAGCTGGCCCAAAGTAGAATGGGGTGCTTTAAGATGTGAGGGACCACCTCCCCCAGTCAATGACTGGATGACCACTGAAAGTTCTTCCATCAGCGAGCTGTGAACATCTGCAGAGCCTTCACTAGGAATTTCAGCATCTGGTACAAATTGAATTGCAGGGAATTGAGGTTCCTAAGGTGTGATCTCTCCTATATAGGGCTGGACAAGATAGGAGACCAGAGGTCATGAAAGTAAAGGAGGCTAAGGAACCTGAAAGTCATAGTGAGTATTTTGGGGAATTGGGGCAGAGAAGAAAACTATGAGCCCCATACTGAACTTCCTAGGAAGGAGAAAAAACAACCTGGAAATTCCTAGATATCAGCAACAAGGAGCCAGGCAGGATGCAGTGAACCTTGAAAGGGAAGAGGTGGTTACTGAATGGTCATGACAGAGAGGGGGCCTGAAGGTGGGGAACCAGGAGCGAGCCAACCTCTCCTCCTGGAGCTGAGCATCAAGGATTGGGAGGGAAGGAGAAGCCAGTGTTGGAGACAGTGCCAAGAGAAAAGCTAGATTTAAGGCAGGTTCAGAGAAACCTGGGAAGACTTCTATGAACTGATGCAGCGAAAGTAAGTAGACCCAGGAGAACAACTTACATGAGGATCTTGACAAGGTCAAAACACCTCAAAAAGCTTCAGAACTTGGATCCATCCTAGCTTTGACTTCAGAAAACTGGTAATGAAGCATGCCTCCTGCCTTTTGTCAGAGGAAGAGGTACAGAAAAAGGCATGCAGTGCCAGGAATAAAGCAATGGTTTAATTAATCAATTTCAGAATGAGGAATGCGCTCCATGCATTAAAGGCAGTAAAGGCACAGCTTATATACATAAATCACGAGAGGGAAAGGGGGGAGAGGTGGATTACAAAACAATCATTTCTAGGACTTGATCGGTTTCCCAGGACAAGCCCACAAGTCCTGTGGGACCAGAGTTCTGTGACGGGAACAGGTTCTACAATCTTTGATTCGCTTCACTTAATGTACATGGGCATAGGAGTGGAGTGATTGTGAGACCCTTGTCAAGGGTTTGATTGATCCTTTCAAGCTGGTTTGTAAGTCTCTGACTCCCAAGCCAGAGTCTCCTGAGAAATCTAAATGATTGTATTCATTACACCTATCATATCGATTAATATGAAAATCAGATTTCCCTTCACACAGCCAAGGTATCAACACTTGTTGCTTGACTATTCTTACTGGCTATAAGGGAGGAGATTTCTTTGCAAAGGGACAGAGTTGGTGGGTAGTGATGGTGAAAGCAAAGAAAACAAAACAAAACAGAAGAAAGAAAAAAGCATTAGAACTTTTTGAAACATAGAAAACAGAGGAAGCTTAGAAGGGACATAGAAAGCAGGGCAGTGCTGTTTTATTGTGTTAAATTTAACATACACTTTAAAAAACTAGAGTCTAGGGGCAGCAAGGTGGCACAGTAGATAAAGCTCTGGTCTTGGAGTCAGGAGGACCTGAGTTCAAATCCAACCTCAGACACATGACACTTAATAGCTGTGTAACTCTGGGCAAGTCACTTAACCCTGACTGCCTCATCAAATTAAAAAAAATAAACCAAGCAACTGGAGTCTACAATTTCACATCCAATCCTTTTTCATGTTCTTTTTTTATTGAAATGCTTATATTTATTTGATTCTAAGTTCATAATAAAAAATAAGATTAACAATTTTATCAGCCTCAGACACTTGACACTTTATAGCTGTGTGACTCTGGGCAAGTCACTTAACCCCAACTGCCCCAGCAAAAAAATAAAATAAAATGGTTTTTTTTTTTTAAATTTCTGAAGCTGGGTTTCAGAGAGAACAGAGAGAATGTGAGAAGAGCTCTGGGCTGAAAGGAATCATAGGATCCTAGATTTAGAGCTACAAGGGATCTTAGAGGATCCAACTCCCTCATTATACGGATGAGGAAACTGAGGCTCCTGGAGGTTAAGTGACGCCCCAGGCGACATAGCTGATAAGCGTCTGCAGGATTTAAACCTGGGTCTTCTTGACTCCAAATCCCATGCTCTATCTGGAATTACCAAGAAGGATGGATTAAGGAGCAGCTAGGTGGTTCAGTGGATAGAGCCCAGCCCTGGAGTCAGGAGGACCTGAGTTCAAATCCAGCTTCAGACACTCAACACTAGCTATATGACCCTGGGCAAGTCATTAACCCCAATTACCTCCAGCAAAAACAAACCAAAAAAGGGTGGATTAAAAGAATACCTTGAAAAAGTAAGGGCAGAAGAGGATGAAGACTAGGGAGGTCCAAGATTGAGTTTACTCTAGTGGGGAAGTGCAGAGGCAGCCAATGTATACTGTCTTTATCCCGGAATCACATGCTAATCCCTACCCCACCCACCCCTGGATCTTAGGCCTCTGTCATGATTTATATCCTCAGTCAAGGGCTGGAGGAGTAGTGTAGGAAACAGAGAGAAGGGTATGAAGCTCACGGCCCCTGTCAGGTGGCAGTTGTCTGGCCTAGGTGAAGGGGGTAGGAGCGAGAGGAAGAAAGTGTGACACACGCTCCCCCCTCCCCCATGTTGGCCTCTTGGGCAAGGCTGGGGCTGCACCCATACTGAGTCTGGCTCTGAACAATGGTAGGAAATTAAGCAAAGTCTTGGCTCAGTAATTAAAGCCTCAGGCATTCTCAGCTTCCCAACCTCTGGAGCAAATGTGTAAGTGGCTGGATGGGCTCATGGAGGCAGAGAAGGCCCTCAGATTTAATAGTGACGCCCTGTAGGGCTGGAAGCTGGGCTGGGCCCCAAGATGACGTGTGACCTCACAGTGGGTACTTGCCCAAGGGCAGGACATCGGCCCCGTGCTCTGATACTGAACAGGCTGCTGATGGGAATCCTACCCCTTATGGAAGAAAGTTGGAAGGAGCCTGGTAATGGTCTGGTGGGGTGTAAAACCTGATGGCGGTCCAGGGCTGGAGCTGAGGACAGCATGGTGAGAGTGGAGGCCAGAACTGGCTTCTTTGTGTGCTGGGCATTTTTTTAGGGGTTCTTATGGATTTCTGCCGGTGGGACCCAAGCCTAGAAGTGGGGAGAAAAGCCCGTCCCTAGCCCGCTGTGCCCCTCACCTCACCAGCCTCACCCAGGAAGTCAACAGCAATAGCACAGGGGACTCATCGACTACATGGGCATCTTCTCTGGGAGGGGGGAAAAGCCCCCACCCCCACCCCACAGAGGGCTCCTAAGATGAAACTTGTCTCCAGTCGAGGTTTGCAAAATTTGCCTAGTGGCCCCAGGATGGCAGAATGGCTTCTTGAATTAGAAGGAAGCAAAGGAGAGAAGTACTTACCTAAGTGACCTTAGACACTCACTCCATCCTCCTGGCCTTCAGTTTTCTTTCAAATGAGCAGACTGGATTAAATGAACTGACATTCTAGGTCACTTCTGACGCTCTCTTCTAAAATCTCTCCCAACTCTGACAATCCATATTCTAAGGGCCCTCTCAGTTCTGACATTCTATGCTCTAAGGCCCCTCCCAGCTCTGACATTCTGTGTTCTGAGGTCCCTCTCAGCTCTGACATCCTGTGTTCTAGGGGCCCTCCCAGCTCTGATATTCTGTGTTCTAAGGGCCTTCCCAGCTCTGACATTCTGGGTTCTAAGGCCTCTTCCATATTCTGATATTCCATGATCTTTGTCCCCAGAAGTTTGTCTCACTCAGTGGCTTTTCAGGGAGTTTTGGAACCCCTTGGACTTTGGTTGGCTTTCAATAATTATTTCAATGCATGAAATTCACTAACATTCCAAAAACACTCACCTTGTTTTATTTTCAGTCTTGCTATCCTCTTGTATGTCCTCAATTTCTGTCTCTTCTTTGGAGCCAAGAGCCAGTTGCTACATGACCTAACAACAGCTTCATCTCTTGTCTGGTTACTCACGTTGACATAGGGATGGGGAGAGGGGAAATAAATAAAATCTCAAAGAAGCTAACTCTACCTAGAAGGCATCAGATAACAAAGTCTTTTCTGCATTGAGTCCACCTTTTTTTGTATGATTGACTGGGTCCAAAACTGTGGTTTCTGTTTCTCTTCAGTGAGACTGACTAGGTAGTCTTGGGTATAAGGATTTACCTCTCTGGGTTCCTGTTCCTCAGTGGTTCAATAGAGAAAATTATCTCATTGATTCCCTTGGCATGTCTGAGGAGACAACAGATTGTAGGATCATAGAATGTCAGAGCTGGGAGGGCCCTTAGAACACAGGATGTCAGAGCTGGG